CTACCCTCTGCCCTTCACTCACCTGAAAACACAACTGTGAGAAGAGACTGAGGAGAGGGAAAGGGGAAGAGTTCTGTCTGAGGACCTCAAGACTGAGAGGCCAGGAAGGTCTGATCTCCAAGAGTGTCCTCTGGAAGGGAAAAAGCATTTGGCTCCCTTGTCAGTACAGAGAAGAAATATGCAGGAAATATTCACAGCAGGCAGTGGACCTTGAGAGCTTTCCAGCAGGGGACACCTGGAACAGGTGACTTCTTGCAGACAATGGGACATATTTTCTCTTTCAATTCTGCTGTGTGTTGGCCCGTCTGGGATTTATAACAACCAAATCCAGGAAAGTTTTGTGAAATCCACAAGTACCCCCTTTCAGCTGCCCTCGGGGACCCATGCCCAGCTTCTGGTTCTGGCTGTGTGTCCCTGATTGCTGAGAGGCATCCAAGAGTGAAGGGGAAAGATGGAAAGCAGGGCTTGGGAGAACAGCCTGACTTTGCAAGGCCCGTTCTCAAACCCACTTGAACAACCTTTTTAGAAAATGCAGAGAAAATGTCAACATGAACCCATCTGGGAAACATCTCAGGCAAAATGAGGAAAACATGGTGGGTGGCTGTAAGCCATGAGAATACAAAGACTGTGACTAAGTCTCATTTATGTTACTGCCCTTTCCCATCAAGTGGAGCTGGCTTTAAGTACGCACTGGTAGGAAGGAGATGAGTGCTGAAGCCATTGTTCCCCAATTTATGATTTTTCACTGGAAATTTTCTGAGGAAAGGTGCTGAGATCCGATCCGTCGCTCATCAGACTGATTGTGGTGTCCACCCTGCATGTTGTGATGGCCTGGACCCTGCAGACAAACAGGGTGGGTTTGTACAGTGATGTGGTGAGGCTCTGCACACCTTCTGTCCCCATTAAAATGTGGAAGCAGCAAGGAGGAGTTCAAAGGGAGACAGGGGCATACAGTGCCTGGAGCTTGTCAGTCAGCTTTTATGAAAGAAATAAGGAGGGTTAAAATAACATTTTTGTGTTGAAAGTTGATTGAAGCTTGGCAAACCCCATCAAATCTTTATTTTCACCTTGGTAGAGATTTTTCTTATGAGTTAAATTATTCAGGTAGGGCGGTTAAACAGAAAATAACACCTTCAGTGTATGAATAATACAACCCAAAAGCTAGGATGGGAGAGATTGTAAATAATCCATCATCTGCTACATTAATTCCTCTAGTTAACAGTAGTATTTAAATGGAGCAATTCATCTGCCTGTATGTCTTTTTCCTGAGTGATCCAATCTATCAATTGAAGCCAGGTGCAGCTCTGGCTTTGCCATTCTTCCAGGAGCTGTCATTTTCCAGCTGGGGGGATGCTGGTTTTCCTAAAGACTCCTGGGCCAGCTGCAGAAAATGAAAGAAAGGAGTTATGAATGTTAGCTGAAATGTGCCCATGGACAGTGTAAGACCTTTACAAAGTGCTTGGGGGATCACAGAATTGTGGAGCTGTTGAGGTTGGAAAAGATCTTCAAGATCCTGGAGTCCAACCTTCTCCTGAATCCCACCATGGTCACCAAACCCCACCACAAAATTCACCCACGAGCCACTCCAAACCCCTCAAGCCCATCAGGGACCTCTGTGGGTCTCTGCTTAAAAACTGTGTAACTCAATTCATAAATTCCACAGCTCCTTAATTCTGCAAGTGCAATCGTGACTAATCACCAGGATTTAATCATCTCACCAATTATTAAAACTGGAAGAATATTAAATATAATTTCTTTCCACTGTTGTCAGGTTGTGTGATTTTTATAGAGACATGTTTGATGTTCAGTGTGTTCCCTACAGAATGTAATTTTTTAAAGCAGAGGCACAAGTTTTTTAAAAGAAAAGCAAGATATATTAGTAAAAACTGAAAGTAAAAAGCAGATATAACCAGAAGCCTCAAATGGCAGTGATAGCTTTTATGAAAACCCTCAATTTCCTTTATTTTGATTTCCTTCTGTCTTTTAAAATGCAGTCCCATGGCTGCTGGGGAGGTGGTTGCAGACTGGGTGTTAGGAGTGTTCTGGCAGCTCTGCCTTTACTGGCTCTGTTTTATTTTCCCCCTGTTTGTGTCAGTACAGCTCACAGCAATGAGGTAATTTTTGTCCTGCCTTGCCCCAGAGCTGTGCTCTATCCAGGTGGCTCTGAGGAGGGCTGTTTTAATTATGGAAATATTTCAAAATGCAAAACAATCTTGTTTTTTAAAGAATAATTCCTTTCAGAACTGAGGGGAAGACAACATGGGGCTAACATAAGTGTTTGGGTTTTTTAAGGTTTTATAACATCTTATGAAGCAACACCTAAACTTGAGGCCAGTTTGAGCAGATGGCTTCCTTAGAACAGTTGCCTTTAGTGATCAGAGCAAGTGTTCCCTCTAATAAATGTGCAGAACTTGTTGTGCTGTGTCTGGAAGCAGGAGATTCCTCGTGTGCAGCAGCAGTGACAGCTGCCCTGTGGAGCTGTTCTCTTCTCCACGGACTCCTCTGGATTCTCAGGGTTTCCTCTCCTCCGTGGGTGCCCTCCCTGTCCCCCCAGACGTTGTCTGTGATTGATGCTTTGTGTGAAGAGACATGAATCTTCACTCCATATTTCAGAAGGCTGATTTATTATATTATGATATATATTATATTAAAATGATATACTAAAACTATACTAAAAGAATAGAAAGGATCCATCAGAAGGCTGGAAAGAACAGGAATGGAATGATAACAAAGGCTTGTGACTCCCAGAGAGTCCAAGCCAGCTGATTGTGATTGGCCATTAATTAGAAACAACCAACATGCACCAATCCCAGATGCACCTGTTGGTAAACAATGTCCAGAGCACATTTCACGGCCATCAGACAGTTATTGTTTACATTTCTTTTCTGAGGCTTCTCAGCTAGAATAGGAGAAAAATCCTAGCAAAGGATTTTTCATAAAATATCATGGCTACAGCTGTCCCCACAAAGTTCCCTTGGCTGTGTGAGGAGAACACTCCCAGGCTCTGTGGTGGCATCCAGGATTCCTGTCCTACAGCCTGATCCTTGCTGTGTTTCCTGCAGCTGTGGGAGCCTGGGAGAGCTCTGCAGCTGGGGATGTGTGAACCCCAGCGAGCTGCTGGGCTCCAGCTCCACAGAAACGCTGCTTCCCACTGAGACCAGGGGTGCCAGAGAAAGCTGGAGTGATAAAGGAACTTGTCTGTGACTCACTGAATGAAAAACCACTTTCTCTCAGAAGATGGTGGATCCTCTCCCTCACACGGTGTGAAGAGCCCTGTTTTGCTAGAAAAGTCTCATTTTGAGATATAAACTCAAGCCCCTCCTGTTTCCAGCCACCAGAGGTGATCACAGTGTGGGCTGCAAAGACAAGAGCTCAGGTCCTCCAGCCCTTTGGATCATTTTCTATTTTGACCAATATTTTTTGTCTCCCTCAATTTCCATGACAACTCTAAGTGACAGAAATACTTTTCATTGTGTGGACAGAAATAGATAACCCTGCACAGGTTGATGTGCAGTTCCCATCTGCTGCCCCAAAGAACCACTCCTGCCTGGGAACAGGGATCCTTTGGTGTTGGGCTAAGTCTCCTGGAAAAATTCACAACAAGGGTATTGAAAAGCAATTAATATTCACAGAAAGATTACTGATCGAGAGACCTTTCACTCCACTGGCTTTTAAATGGTAGCATCCCCCATTAATACCATCACTCCTTATAAATGCTATTAACATTGTTGACTAATGACAATTTTAGCGTTTATTTATATAATACAGAGGTTTTGTTTGCAATTAGAGCTTTCATGATTCTGCAATGTGTTGTTCAGGGAGAGAGGGAGACCATCATTCCTGCTTACATGTCTGTCATTTAGTCAGAAAAAAGCAATTTTTCAGAGTCTCCCTTGTTAACACCAGCCAAGAGACTTCTCGAAGCAGCAGCAGCCAAAGTTCTGAAGTGATATTTTAAGTAAATCACGTCAAAAGTCAACAGTGAGAAGATGTTTTGTATAAGCACTTGCACTGAGAATTCCCCGAATTCAACATTTGCCATTGTGTTTCACTCAGCCATGAGAGGTGCACTGAATATATTTACTGCTGCAAGGCCCAGGGCTTGGCAGGTCAGAATGTGGCATCATTCCTGGGAACATCAGTTTCTCATGTTCAGTGCTCTGCTTTCTGGTTTTTCACAGAAATCAGGATAGGGTGCTGAATTTGGAGCAAGTCCTTCTGTCGCTGACATTTCTCCTTGTTAGTGCAAATCCACACATGGAAACAACAGCTGTTGGATCACTCCTGTGCTCACAGTCTCTATGGAACTCTCTGGATCCCTGGGAGTTTGGCATCGGGATGATGCCTGGAGAGGCTCCTGGAACAGAGGCTGGACAGAGTTAAAGGAATAAAGCAGGGATTTATTAAAAGACCTCAAAAGATCCACCTTGGGCAGTGCAAGAGCCCAGCCAGGGCTGCACCCAAGATGGACCCAGCATGGACTCAGAGTCACGAGTTTTCACACTTTTATCAGTTTGGGTCCATTCCCACCTTGGGTTCACTGTCCAATTGCAGCTCCAGGGGATGCAGTCCCACCCTCCCAGGCTGCTCTCCTCCATCCCCTGTTGTTTGCACTTTTTGTGTCTTGGTTCTGGGGCTGGAAAAGGATTGTTCTGTGTGATTGAGCTGTGAGGAGAACTTGCTGGCACTTTACATGGAATTCAGAATTCTATCCCAATGCAGTGCAGAGTCTGGAAAACATGAAAGCTCCAAACAGGGTGGAGAATTCTTCCCTTTTTGGGTAATGAATGGGGAGGGCTGGTTGATGCCAAAATATTTCATCCTTCCCTGGGCTGAACCTTCCAAGGAGAATGGACAAAATCTGGTCCTGATGGGTTTCTGGCTGTGGCTGCCAGGTTCCAGCTCCCTGGTGGAGCAAAACACAAAGAGTCAGCAGAGTTAGAAAAATGGTCCAGAAGCACACAGGATTGTCCTTCCTGCCCTTCCTTGAATTTTTCCAGGCTCTCTCATCCATGGAGGAATTCAGAAACCTGGATCGGGACATTGAAGGGTCTGCGAAACGGTGGAAGAAATTTGTTGAGTCTGAGTGTCCTGAGAAGGAGAGGTTCCCCCAGGACTGGAAGAACAAGTCAGCCCTGCAGCGCCTGTGCATCCTGCGCGCCCTGCGGCCCGACCGCGTGCCCTGCGCCGTCAGGTGGGGCTGGGGCAGCGCTGGGCTGGGCTGGATGGGCAGCAGCGGGAGTTCAGGGATGTGCTGGCATTTGGGAATGTCAGAACGTTTTTAGGGTGTGAGTTCTGCAGCGTGGTTTCCTATCAGGGGTCTTGGATGGACCCAGTGGGGGTGGGAGGCAGCAGCACAGGGTGCCCGGAGCAGCTGTGGTGCCCCTGGATCCCATTATATATTATTATTATATTTATATTATTATTATAAATAAACTATATTTATAATTATATTTCTTATTATAGATAATAATAATTATCTAAAACTATAATTATATATAATAATTATATATAAACAATTATATACATGTTTATATATTTTATATATAATAATTATATATAAAATATATAAACATTATTATAATACATTAAAACTATACTAAAACAATAGAGATAAAAGGATTCATCAGAAGGCTAGAAAAAACAGGAATGGAATGCATAAAAAAAATCTTGTGACTGCTCACAGCCTCGACACAGGTGGCTGTGATTGGTCATCAAGTGAAAGCAATCCACATGGACTAATCTAAGATGCACCTGTTGGTCAACCATCTCCAGAGCACATTCCACAGCCATCAGACAGTTATTGTTTACATTTCTTTCCTGAGGATTCTCAGCTAGAATAGGAGAAAAATCCTAGTGAAGCATTTTTCATAAAACATCATGGTGGCACAAGGCCAGGCTGGACATTGGGACTGGGAGCAGCCTGGGACAGTGGGAGGTGTCCCTGCCCATGGGATGATCTTTAAGATCTCTTCCCGCCCAAGCCATTGTGTGATTCATTGATCTCTGAACCCTGCAAGGCAATCAACACATGGCATTTAAGTGGAATTTCTTGCTTAGTGGGATCCAAGCTCCCTGTCACCACCAGGGATGGAGCAGAGAAACCAGGGTGAGGGGAAGACCAGCCAAGTCAGAAATGAGCATCACCACACAGGTGTTACACATCTGCTGCAGTCTGAGCTCAGCAACATCCATTTTAGTTACTAGATCAGTTTGGGCTTCTTAGACACCAGAATAGGAGTAGAAGTAAAGAAAAGTCTTATAGAGGTTTTCTCTCTTTTTTTTTTTTTTTCCCTGTAAAATGCAAAATTTATGTGCTGCTGGTTCTGAAAGTTGTAGTGGTAAATTATGTAGTGAAGGTAACTGGGCAAGGCTAAACCTCCCGAAATTATGCAAAAGCAACCTCCTTGTTCCAGGACAAGCTAAAGGTCTTTCACTCCATGAGGACTTGGTTTTCCCTTCTCTGGCCAAGGTTTTGGCATTTCTGGGATGTCTCTCATGCTCCTGTTTCTCCAGTAGTTTATATTCCTGCACCACCTGATGTGCACACAGCAGGGTGTTTTACTCAGTGTATGAGCTACATCTGTTTGTGCTTCAAGGTTCACAGAGAAACACAGACAAGCCTGAGTGAATCTCCCTCTGGTCACTGGTACTATTTTTTTATTACAACAAATATTACAGTTTATCATAATACTAATACTAATCCAGCTCTTTTCATTTCTTACTTTTATGGCTGGATTCTCCATGTGTCTCTCAGCTGAAAATATTGGTTTTCCTGTTGTTGCTTAGCGTGAGTAAAATAAGCTCTTGGAATTTTAGGTGCATTTATGCAACTATAATTAATTTCTTTCTTACTCACATGGCTCAGAAATAACAGGAACATCAAATTTCAGCCCCTTTTTTGTCTCTCTTTTATGAAAAGGGAATCCAAGTTCAAAAGCTTGGCTGGATATTTTTAGGGTGTGGGTACATCCAGCTTTTCTGTTTGCACAGGAGTATTTAAATGGATTTTTGTATTGTTTTGTTTTGTTTCTTATCTCGAAGTGCAAACAGTAACAGTTCACTGAACCTTCCCCAGGACTTTGGGGGCTTTTCTTGAAATACAACTCAGTTATCAATATCTCAGTGTGCCAACATGAAACACCTCACTGGTGACCATGGACATCATGACCAGTCCTCTCTGGGGGCCTTGACCAGTCCATGGCTGCATTTTAGGAATAATATAATATGTTATATATCAAATATATACATAATAAATATAGAAATATATAATATTTTTGGAGTAATATCCCAGCCATAGGTGGCATGGGGGATTTTAGGTACCCTGGAATATCCCAACCTCATTTCCAGCTGCTGTTCAGAAAGATCTAAGCCACTTTGTGTCCCACTCATGTGTCCCTGCTCTGTGATGATGGTGTAGAATTTCTTTGGGATTTAAGATGATCCAAGCCTGTACAGGCCCTGGGAAGCGGGGGGCTCCAGCCACTCTTCCTAGCAGATCCCTGGGGATGTTTGCCCAGTCTGGTTCATTCCCTAGGCCTGAGGAGCATCAGGAGAAGCCCCTGACTCACTCCTTAGAGCTTCAGGGCCGGCAGTGCACCAACTGTAATTTCCTGAGAAAGGATTATCCCCTGTAAGTCTCTTTTCCCCTTCAATCTTATTGAAGAACATCAGCAAAATGCTTCTTGTAGCACCTTGTGTTTCTGAGTCCCCAAGGCACTGTTTCAGAGCTGAGATGTGACATCACAAGAGTGTTGTGACCTTAAATCTGATGGACTTGGTGAAATTTTGTGACCTGAGCCTTTCCAGCAGCAATTTACCAAATCTTGACCCTGAACAGAAAAATCTTCTTAAAGGAGAGGTACCAATAATGTGGAAGGTTTTTTTTTTAATGCAATCCTTCAGGCATTTCTATTCCAGCTGCCTTTCACCAGTCCTTGAAGGAGGTTCTCAGCTCTCTTAGAAATAATTTGGCTGCCTTCAAAAGGCCTGAGTAATCCATCTGAGCTGCAGCAGCATTCCTGGGGTTTGAATATAACATTGCTACCTCTGAATCAGTGTTCAGTGTCTCTCTTTCTGTAAAGCACTGATGTCAGGAGCTCACCCTGGGGGAATCCAGCCAGAACATTCTCCACGCACCATGCCCTGTTCCAGCAGCTGCTGTGGAGCTGAGGAAGCTGTGAGCTTTCCCTGTTCACTCCTTTGTATTTTTCCTTGTCACTCTCATGCTAAGGCTCCACGCTCCAGACATTCTTAGAGCTCTTCCCTTTCAGCTTTGCAGATCAAAGCAATTGTGTAAATCATCTGGACTTTGTGTGGATCGCTGCTTCCTCTGCACGGCTGCTTGGGTTGCAGAACACGTGGCAGGTTCTTGTGTCTTAACTCATTTCTTTCCTCCTGAGGTTCCTGAGTCAGAATCGAGCCAGTGCTTGTGTTGTGCTTCTGAATGCAGCTCCCACTGCTCTCCCTTCCTGCTTCCCTCTGTTTGTCAGGAGCTGCTGTCTCCTGTGGCATCCCAGCCCTGTAGAGCGCCAGGCATTGCTGCTGAGGGCAGCCCTGCAAGCCCAGACCACAGATCCTCTCCACAACTATTTCCTGCTCATTTTCCTAATTTCAGTTTCTAAATCATTTGAAGGATCAAAAGTATGAGGAGAGGCTGAGGGAGCTGGGAAGGGGCTCAGCCTGGAGCAAAGGAGGCTCAGGGGGAAATTCTGGCTCTGCACAGCTCCTGCCAGGAGGGGACAGCCCGGGGGGAGTCAGGCTCTGCTCCAGGGAACAGGGACAGGAGCAGAGAAAACAGCCCCAAGTTGCACTAGGAGAGGTTTAGATTGAATATTAGGGGAAAACTTTTCCAGTTGAAGGGTTATCAAACCCTGGCACCAGCCCTGGAAGTGCTCAAAAGACCTGTGGGTGGGACACTTGAGGCCACAGTTAATGGTGAACACGGTGGTGCTTGACAATGCTCACACCTGATAACCCTGGGACTCTTCTCGAACATTAACAATTCTGGGATCCCATCATAATTAATTGATTATTTGCAGAGAAATCTGCATTTCCTGAACAAAGTGGCAAAAGTTTTTTTTTTTTTCTCCCTGGCAGAGATTTTGTCGAAGAAAAGCTGGGCAGCAAATACGTGGTGGGGAGATCCCTGGATTTTGCAACGACCTTTGAGGAATCAGGGCCTGCCACCCCGATGTTTTTTATCCTGTCCCCAGGAGTGGACCCACTGAAGGATGTGGAGAAGCATGGTAAGGCAATCCTGTCCCCAGGCACACCACAGCATTGCTATTTATCTGCTGCATTATTATCTTAGCACGACATGCCTGTTTTGTTTGGGCTTTTTTCCCCTCATCTCTTTGTAGATAATGAAGTAATTTGTTAAAAATAGATAATTGTGTGAGGATGCGATGGGATTTTGCTTTGGTTTTATTGTTTTCCTTAAAGTTTTCTGGATTTTCATCTGAAGTTTTAATTTAAACTTGTCTCTTTCCTGCGCTGCCTGGATTCACATTGCTCACAGTGCAGGGATCTCCGAGCTGGGTTTGTGCACAACCTGTAATTTACGTCAGAGATGTCTCACACGCTCTCAGATGCTCGTTGCCAAGAAAGGTTGAACCAGAGGACCCTTGAGGTCCCTTCCAACGTGCTATTCTATGATTTTATGATCGCTAAAAATAAGCAGCAGCTCCCTGTAACAGATTGCTGCTTTATGGCAAAGTTTCCAGGTTTCCTGCCATCCCTCCTGAGCTGATCTCCATGTGGATGGTCAGCTGTGGAGCTGTCAGCTGGCTCCAAAGGCAAAGGGCCTTCTGTGAGATGCCTTCCTGGAGAGGGCACTGCTGCCCCTGTGCCCCAGTGGCTGCAGTCACTCTGTGCTCCAAAGCTGCCCTTGTGTGGAATTTACTCTGGGTCTTGGCTCCACTTTGGAAAAATTCTCATTTTCAGCCTGAACCTCCCTCTGGAGCAGAGGAGTCTGATGCCTTTGGGGTTGGACAGCACAAAACATCATCCAGGCTGGCACAATGACTTGTGCATTCTTTTTCCTCTCCACAATGCACCCAAAATAATGTTTGAGTGAGCCTTTACCAACGTTGCCAGGAGCAGCTGTCAGAGCCGTTGAACTTTGCTCATTCTGGGGAATTCTTGGGCTTAGCTTTGCATTTCAGGCTCTTTCTGTCCCCAAACCAGGTGTCATTACTGGAAATTAAAGGAACACCCCCCAAAAAGCTCTTGTGATTTCCCTGGCTTCCCTCTGGAGCCACCTTGGTGATCCTGTCTCTCTCTCTCCTTGTAATTTCCTTGTATGGGAAATGAAGCAATAAAATCAAACCATGAGTGGTTTAATTGGAATTGTAAAGATGAGCATAGCTGAGCACCTGGGGTTAGCCAGCCAGAAAAGTTACAGCAAGAAAAGCCAAAAAACGAGAAGTAATGAAATAAAATCACTGCCACAGAGCAGCTGCACTGGCCTTCCAGCTGCCTCACTGGGGTTTTGCTTGTTATTAATATTTCTCTGTCCTTCATTAGGTGTTATTAAAGTGCAGGATAATTCCTGTGAATGGAAGTCAGCTTCTTGCAGATGCTGCCCACCCCTGGAGCCTTTCCTTGGCATCTCAGGGAGGGCCCTGCAGCAAACAGGGGTGGAAGGCCTTTGTGCCCTCCCTGAGTGCCCATCCCCTCCCTCCTGCAGCCAGCAGGGAGGGAGCAGGGCTGGCACTGCCAGGGCAGGCTCACCGATACCCCTCTGCACTGGAAATCACAACTGATATTCATTTATTACTCATCCCCTGGCGTGGGGTGGTGCCCTGGCTCTGTGGTTTGCCCCATCCCTTCTCCAGGCAGTGGATCATGAAGGCAGGGGAGCAAATCAGCAGTTTTCAAAGCTGGCAGCAGCCAGAGATGGTGGGAAAGAGAACGGAGAAAGAGAAGTGGGAACTCTGGAATGTGTGGGGAGCTGTATCCCAGGGGAAGCTGTGCTGAGGCTCAGCAGAGAGCTGGAGTTTGGAGTTTGTTCTCCTCGTGGCCATCTGTTCTCAGTCTCGTACCACGAGATGGTTCCTAAGCCTTGCAAGACAAATCTTTTCCTTGTTTCTCTCTAAAACCTGCCTGCTTTTGGCAGGAATTGGGAATTCAGGGCGTACCATCTGCAGGAAGGCAAACCTGCATGCAGAGATAAGTGTGGGCAATCCCCAGGGATCAGCTGTGGGGATGAGTCCTGACTCCCTGGCTGAGCCAAACCCATCCTGGGGATGTTTGTGGGGCTGCTCCCTCCTGCAGCACAATTTGGGTTTTTCTTCTGAGGTGCACACAGCAGGGAGAGCTGGCTGTGCTGTGAGAGGAGCAGCAGTGTGCTCTGTCTGTGGGGGACAGACTCAAAACCTGGCCAGGAGATTTGCAGCCATGAGCATGCAGAAATGATCTGAGCCACTGGGATGCTGCAGAGGGAGCAGGGGAGGCTGAAGGATCATCAGAGAGCAGTGAAGGGACAGGAAGAGCTGCCATCCTCCCTCCAGAGCAGGGCTGTGGGGTTTGGGGTTTGCCTTCAAGATCCTCTGCCTGGAGAGAGGATGGGGCAAACCACAGAGCCAGGACACCACCCCAAGCCAGGGGATGAACATAAATGAATGTCAGTTGTGATTTCCTCTTCCCAGCACTGCAGAGTGAGCCTGCCCTGGAAGGACACTGGGATCTGTCTGGGTGGCTCCCAAACCACCCCTTCCCATGGGCTTTGCTGAGAAACCTGGAGGGTTTCTCTCTGCTTTCCAACCCCAGACACCTGGGAGGCCTTGCTTGAAGAAGCTCCTAGGGATTCTATTTCATTCCAGCTGCCCTCTCCAAGCCCAGCTGCTGCACCAGCCTGCATTGCAGGGGCTTCTCCCCACCCAGTGTGGGTGTTCAAAGCCTGGTTAATCAGCAGGAAAAAGATTTTAATTTCTTATCACTGTAAAATGTGTTTTTACACCGAGTTGCAGGGGAATAATGTTCTTTAAACAAGAAGCACTTTATAATAAGGTACCTTTGTGGGGATGCTGCACTGTAATTAAAAGAGTTTGGGGGAAGCTGCTGCTGTGTGAGCACTTGGGCAAGGAGTGGGTGAGAGCCAAGAGAAGTGATATCAGGAGTGTGACAGCTCATGTGTGAGGGTTTGGTACCTGAACTCACCCCTTGTTCCCTCCCAGGGAAGAAGCTGGGCTACACCTTCAACCACAGGAACCTCCACAACATTTCCCTTGGACAAGGCCAGGAGCTGGTGGCTGAACAGGCTCTGGATGTGGCTGCAAAGGAGGGTCACTGGGTCATCCTTCAGGTACGGGGTCATGGGGGCCAGTCCTGCCCCTCTCCCAGCTTGGTGTCCCCTCTGCTTGGGACACATGTGTCACTGTGCGTCCCAAGCAGCCACCTCTCCCTGGGATCAGGCTCTGGCAGGTTGGGTTTCTCCTCCTGGAGCTGTTGGTGGGGTGTGCACATGCAGGAATATGTTCCACACTTCTCTGTGCCTTTGTTTGCTCCGTGGCTGAAGGAAGAGCTCTGTTCTGAGAGCCCCTGGACTCTCCTCTGCCCCTGCACCTCAGAGAGCACAGAGGGAGCTCTGCAGTGGGGCTGGCTCCCTGTGTGGTTTTTGAATAGAGAGAGACATCATTCTGTCTCCCAGGATTTTTCCTGGGGAAGGCAGTGAGAAGCACAGAGGGAGAAGAGAAGAACAGTTCTTATCTCTACTTGCTGCTCCTGTTGTTTTGCACACGTGGAATGCGTTATGGAGATGGTTTAATGAGAGGGGTTTGTTAATTGGACACCAGTGAGGGTTGCTTGGATCGATTGGCCAATTGTGTAATGAATTTTGGGGACAGTCACAGGTTTTTCTTTAGTATAGTTATAATATAGGGTTAGTGTACTATAGTACAGCTTGATAAAGCTATATCCTTTGTTCAGCCTCCTGAATCGTGGGGCCAGAGCTCATTATTCCCTACCTTGGGGATGCCCTGCATCAATACCCCTGAGCATCCCAAACCAGGAAAAGGCTGCCAGCTCTCATCACAGCCCCACAAAATGCCTCAGAGCCTCTGGGGTGTGGAGGGAGCTCTGCCTCTGTCAAGTGCTCTCTGGAGCGCTCATTTAGGGAGGGTTTGGGTTTGCTGATGTGCACTCGGTGATGTCAGCTCTCATTACAGCTTTTGGGAACCCCTCTGATTTCCTTGATGTGGATTATATAAACTTTCATTATCACTGAATTGTTTGCATAAAATTAGATTAAGACAAAGCTCTGAGCCGTGATCTAAGCCTGCAGGCCTGGTTATGAATTGAAATTAAATAGCTCTGATATTTTGATCTTAATTTTTGCTTTTTTTTTTTTGCAAGCTCCCTCTGAGGTAAACAATGCTGAGCTTCTCTAGAGCTTTTAATATACACAGGGCTGCAATCCTGGCATCTGCCTTTGAGGTGGTGCAGATGGAAATACGCAGCTTTTTGAGCCGTTCAGTAATGCAGAGTGAAAAGTTATTTTGTTATTTTCTACAGTGCTGGTGTGCTGCTGTAAAGGATCTGTCAGCAGTGCCAGGCTCCATGTGCACTAACAGACAAGCACTGGGGGCCTGAAGGGTATTTATTACATCCATTTCCAGCTTCTCTGGTGGTCAGAGCAATCAGTAAGAGGTGAGGCAGACACTGAAGGCTAAATCAGAAGAAATCCTCCCTGGCAGGGTGGGCAGGCTCTGGCACAGATGCCCAGAGCAGCTGGGGCTGCCCCTGGATCCCTGGCAGTGCCCAAGGCCAGGCTGGAGCAGCCTGGGACAGTGGAAGGTGTCCCTGGGACAGTGGGAGGTGTCCCTGCCATGGAGGGGTGGGATGGGATGATTGGGTCCTGCCATCAGTCAGGGCTGGATCAGAGCAATATTTGCCATTTGGTTTATCTAGCAAGATCTTTCCTGAGAGGCTTCGGTGACAAATGCCTCACAAACAGCTCCAGGAGTGTTTGTACAAGATCTGGAATGACACAGATGACTCAATTTACGAAAGTGTCACAGGATTTTGTGGATCATTGCATTAATAACAAAAGAGAGGCCAGAGCAGATCTCAGGGTAATTTTACCCAGATTAATTAAACTCATTATTTGAAGGCTGTATCCCACCCACAGCACAGCTATACCCAAGCTTCCCATTTGTTTTTGAGCAGACAAAAAGCAACTGTTAGCTTTGCTTCTGTATTTTGCCATCCCCTGACCAGCAGCTCAGCTCACGTGGAGCAGAGCTTCTCACACACACGTTCTCCAGGACAAACACTTGAGGGCTCATCTGGGTGGCTTTTTCACGTGTGGCTCATCCCTGGTCCTTGATTGGGACCAGACATAATGAGAGTCACGTGCTTGGAGCATTAAGGAGTCAGGGAATGAGGTTTGGGAGGCAGGTGGGAGGTTTTTGTTGGATGACAGGAGCAGGATCACTGCTGTGCTGGGAAGGGCCACTTCCTCTCAGTCCTGTTGCCTTCTGGCACCACAGGAGGCAAAATAAAGACAAAAACACTCTGGGAAAAGTTCCTCAGCTCACTCTGAAAATGGAGATTTTCCTGAATGACTCATTTCATGACAGAGAACAGCAGAAAGCCACTCAATCCTTCATTTCACGGGAAGACAATCCCCCTCACCCTGGCAGAGCCTGGCCAGCAGCTCCCTGTCCCTTCAGCACCAGTGTTGTTCCTGTGTGGTGGCTTCAGCTTTGCTGAGCTCTGGTACAGGGTGGTGACAGATGAGTGAAGCCCATAGCCAAAATTATTCCCTACAAATACAAATGGTCCAACTGCAGAACAGGAGCCCCTGAGGCAAAAGTGCAGCTCTTTAAGGGAGCCTTTTTTACCTGGGGGCTGCAGAACAGCCCAGCTCAAGCCCAGCAGCTGCTCTGTTCCTGTCATTGGTGCTGAAGGGCTGAGCTTGATCTCTGAGCTCCACAAAACCCCATTTACAGCAGGTCCAGCCTCTGGGTCTCCTTAGCAACACTTCAGAGGTTTGGAGGGCTTTGAAGCCAGGGGTGGCATTGCACTGGGGAGTGCAGGCAGAGCTCGCTGCCAGCTCCTCGTGGGGGGCAGGAGCAGCTGGGCCCACAGCTGGAGATGCTCTGTGCAGTGCTGGGATTGTCCAGCATGGAGAAGAGATGATTCCATCACCCTGGATGGTGGGGAGTAAAGACCAGACTCTCCCAGTAGTGTCTGGGGATGGGCACAACCTGAAATTCAGGGAATTCCATTCAAATGTAAATGCCATCTTTTTTTTTCCCATGTGAATGACCAAAGAGTGGATGGAGGTGCCTGTAGAGATCGTGGTGTTTTCATCCTTGGACACATCCAAAAGCACCTGGGCCTGTTCCTGGGCCACTGCACTGCCTGACCCTGCTTTGAGCAGGGACTGGGGGATGCCAGAGGTGTCTCCAGCCCCAGTGACTCTGTGATCTCTGCCTTCCCATGCCCAGCTATCCATGGATCTGGTTTCTGTGCTGCCTGCAGTGTCCCTTGTGCAGGCAGGAAGGAGCTTTGCACCAGCTGTGTCTGCTCTGTCTCCCTCTCAGAAGCCTTTTGCTGACCCAGTGGCCATCACAGTCACCAAATGGGGTTGATCAGCGTAACGGCAAAGACACAGAGAAATTTGTTTGTGTTTGTTCAGATGCATGTTTGAATGCTCTGATGCAGGGAAGAGCTCAGACATTAGATATTCCCAATTTAATTGTAGTCTTCACCCATTAGCCAAAATGTCACTTCCTTCTCTTTGTGATCAAGTTAATTTAATTCTTGAGCATCTTTCTATTTTCCTAGATTGCTGCTTCACTGAGTCAGGTTCATGGATTAAATTGAATAACAGTGAGCTCCTGGAGCAAAACTGTGTGAGATTCATCACTGTATCAGAAATCACAGAATGCCAGGATGGCTTGGAAGGACCTCTGGGGATCATCTGGCCCAGCCCCTCTGCTCCAGCAGGGTCACCTGGAGCACAGGTCCAGAGGAGGCTCCAGGATGAGCAGAGGGATGGGGCAGCTCTGCTGGCAGGAAAGGCTGAGAGAATTGGGGTTGTTCAGCCTGAGGAGTGCTCTGAAGTGAACTGACTGTGGCCTGAAGGGGCTCTGAGAGAGCTGGAGTGAGATTTTGGACAAGGGACGGAGGGACAGGACACAGGGAATGGCTTCCCACTGACAGAGAGTGGGTTTAGATGGGATCTTGGGAAGGAATTGTTCCCTGGGAGGGTGGGGAGGCCCTGGCACAGGCTGCCCCTGGATCCCTGGCAGTGCCAAGGCCAGGCTGGGCACTGGGGCTGGAGCACCTGGGACAGTGGGAGGTGTCCCTGCCCATGACAAGGAGTTGGAATTGGATGAGCTTTCAGGTCCCTTCCAACCCAAACCTTTCCACAGTTCTGTGATTCTGACACCACATCCCAGGCCAGGCTGGTGACATCTCCTGCCCATGCCATGCCCTGGGCACAGCAGTGCCCTTCCCTGTCCCTTGGGGTCCCCCAGCACCATGCAGTGAGCAGGGGCAGTGCTGGGCTGGCTCTGGCTGCGCAGCCTGGCTGGCACAGGGATGGAACATCAGGGAATGTTTTCCGAAAGATCTCCAGAGAGCGAGGCTTTGTGCAAACACCAGTTCTCCTTGTTGCAGGAGTGATTTGTGAGGAGGGCTGAAGGAGAGGGGCACTTTCAGGCAGGGCAGGGTCCCCAGGTGCTGCCAGCACAGGGAGGGGAGCGTGTGCTGCTCTGTGTCCATGTGGCGCTATTCCTGATGGTTGCCACGGCAACGCTGACTGTGATATATGTTCTGCCTTGTGCAAACACAGGGGCTCGGCAGGGAACTCCCAAAGGAAAGCCTCTGGTGCTGCCATGTCCCTACACGTGCAGCCCAGCCCAGCACACAGCCTGCAGCACTGCCCTGAGAGGGGAAAAGGCACAGGGAGGGGCTGTGGGCATGGGCTGTGGGCATGGGATGGGCTGTGGGCAGGGGATGGACTGTGGGCATGGACAGTGGGCATGGGATGGGCTGTGGGCAGGGGATGGGCTGTGGGCATGGACAGTGGGCATGGGATGGGCTGTGGGCAGGGGATGGGCTGTGGGCATGGACAGTGGGCATGGAATGGGCTGTGGGCATGGGCTGTGGGCAGGGGGGAGGGTCAGTAGGGATGGTCAATGTGCAGGGAATGGTCAGTGTGCATGGTCAGTGCACAGGGGATGGTCAGTGCACAGGGAATGGTCAGTCTGGAGGGGATGGTCAGTGGGATGCTCAGTGCACAGGGAATGTCAGTGCACAGGGGGCTGTTTCACACTGCCCACACTGGCTCGT